CTCGACGCGAAAGCATTGAACAGATGAGTAGGTACTCAGCGGTACCAGAATTCCATTGGGAAAAAAACTCGGGAGATAATTATTTGAAAAAACTGGTTGGAAAAATTAGTGGAGCAATAACAAGATAGTATTACCCACCAATACGTTATTTCGAACCGTATAAGAAAAAAAAAAGAAAAAAAAGTGGTATATACTCGGAAAAATAACTCGGTCTGACCCATTTCGACCCACAACTTGTACCAATTATGAAACTGTTTCATTTAGACCTACTTACAACAACTGTATTAAGAAGAATCGTAGAAATGGCTAGCCTAGACGTTTTGGTTACTATGACTTCTCGTAATCTATCAATTACACTAACAAGGAAACATAAACGCCAATGACTTTAAAAAAAAAGAAGTCATGGAGTAAAGAAGATAGAAAAAATCGCGTTTCTCGTTTGCATGCTCTGAAGCCTGCAGGTAAGAGGAAAAAGGGATACAGACCACGCCCCTTTTCCCTAAAGACATCCAATAGAGGCTTGTTTTGTGTATGTGTGTTTGACATAACTCAAGAAGGGAAATTTTGCGACAAGGTTTTGAAGATGCAACGGAGTAGGAGATTAGAAAAAATGGATGGACTTTCAGGGGAAATCATTTTTTAAAGGTGGGGGGTTATGAAAAAATAATGTTCTCGAAATTCTGTTTAAATATGCCCCTCGAGGAGTTGAACTTGTCGAGGCGAGTATTGAAGGTGCGGCGCCGCTACCGACTGAGCCATGCGGGTAAAGAGAAAGCGCACGCCCGATTGCATACATAAAGGCGAGGACGACCGCTGTACGCAGAGTGACATTAAGCGTTGTACACCGTTACGGTAGAATGCATACTCTGGCCCCAAAAATCCCCCGTAAAATCTCCTGTCCCCCCACCTTTAACATGATGTCCCTAAGAATCTGACCAGACTCGGTAAAGCAGGACATTACACATATGTGCTGAGTTAAAAACCACAAAGAAACTACAGTAAAATAGTACAACAAGAATATTAGGTTGGCGGGAAAGTCTTTGTCACTCTGTTTGTTTAATCACTGTTCTCGTATATGGAGGCTGTGTATGATATCGACTCTAGTGAATAACAAGGTGATAAGAACCTTCCATATAAACAAGTCCCCATCTCCTTCCCTGCTCCTCATCTGTAATTGAAACGATATGTTTGTTCCCACTGCTATTCACATCAGACATGTTTTGATTTACCTCTTCCTATCTCACACCACGATGAAGGATTCGGAAACTTTCTTGAAGAATGTGTACAACACACATGCCCCTCACTACAATACTATTCGCAATTGGTTCCATCGTTTCGAAAAAGATGACTTCTCGCTCGATGAAAAGGGTCGCTCTGGGAGACCCGTGAGTTGGATTTGGACAAGCTGAAGCACGCATTGCAATCGGATCCATTTCAATCTAGCCGTGAACTAGCTGTCACATTCGGAGTTCACCATAGCACAGTCCTTGAAGGTTTGAAGTCTCTTGGAATGAGAAAACTTTTTGGTCGATTCATACCTCATCACCTGACTCAAGCCAACCTTGACCGCCGAGTCGACGATTCGATTACTCTTCTCACTCTCCACGCGGGCGATCGATGGCTGGACCGGCTAATAACCGGAGATGAGAAGTGGGTCTTCTACGATAATCACCACAGGAAATCCCAGTGGGTTGGAGAAGGAGAGAGCCCACAGGATGTCCCAAAACCCGACCTTCATCCGAAAAAAGTTATGCTCTCTGTGTGGTGGGGAGTGGACGGCCCCATCTACTGGGAACTTCTGCCCGAGGGCAAAACAATAACTGGAGACCTCTACACTACTCAACTACGAAACCTCAAGAAAGCAGTCGACCGTTCGGCCCTGAAAGACAAGAAAGTGTACTATCAACATGATAACGCTCGCCCACATGTTTCGAAACAAGTGAAGCAGGAGCTGATGGGATATGGATGGAATGTTTTCCCTCACCCCCCGTATTCTCCTGATCTTGCTCCTTCCGACTATTGGTTATTTGGCGATATGACACGTGCCTTCGAAGGAAGAAGCTTCAATTCCCGTGGAGCGGTCGAAGCGGCACTCAAACAATACTTTGCCTCACGCCCGGCTGGATTCTACCGCAATGGAATCCATAAATTGAGGGAACGTTGGAGACATGTTGTTGATAATGATGGACAATATAATTAATTATTCGGTTATTTTTTCTTTGAGAAATAAACTATTGAAAAAGTGACAAAGACTTTCCCGCCAACCTAATATATTACAAAGAAAGACAAAGATACTTAGAAAATTAGAAAAATAAAATTAAAAGGACTAATTCTATTAGCTTGAAAAAGCAAAACAGAGCTCTGAGAAAACGAAAGTGCTCTCCAAAACGATTCAGTTTTCTCTTGAGCTACTGAAATACCAAAACCATTGTGGTGTAATTGAAGAAGTGATTAAGAAAAACGGTATTGGATAGTGGGGCCAGGTGTGACTAAAAAACCTTTCAAAGAATAAAAGAGACCGGAAGAGGAAGAACAGGTGAGAACAGATGGCGGTTACGATTCACAAAAGGAGGTACAAGGGAAATGGCAAATTATCTCAGTTTTTCTCAGGGATATGAAAAAGTTGTCCACTGATAAAATGTTCATCATAATATCTCAAACGTTTTATCAGTTGACAAATTTTTGATATTATGCCTAAAAACTGAGATAATCGATTTCAAATTGGCAATAAGTTATGGTACATACTATCATAAAGTTAGTCTTGGAATTAAAAAATAGTTATAATAATATTGATAATCCATACTCTCCATAAATGTATGCAATTCTAGAAACCTCCAGAATCCATTCTCCATGAAGAATTCCATTTTGGCGGAGGGCGGACTACAATTTTGGATAATTGCTACCTACTAAGCGTGTGCGTAATCCTCAAATTGTGCATCTGTGTAGGTAGAGAGTGAATTGCTTCCTTCAAACCTTCTCAATTTTTATGGATACCACTTTCCAGAGCTCTTATAAGCTACTTTTTGGGCTCATATCCGATTTTTGTCTGTAAGGTGGTTTGTTCTGATGTCCGAATTTCCTGGGAACTTGACGCGCTTACAAACTGATCAGAAGCTACAAAAAGTTCAACAAGAAAAACTAGAGAAAAAGAAAAAAAACTGATGATAAGAAGGCGACACATGTTCTCTACCTTTTGCACTTTGCTGTTCCATTCTCTTGCAACTATAGAACATTTCAAACCCAATTTTGAACATCCGCTTATTTAACACCGAAAAAAGAGACATCCGCCCAAACCGACACACAGACAGAGGTGTCAAACTCTAACGATCGGGGTCACAAACATCACTGACCACCCCAACACTGCCAACTGTGTAAACTTTCAAAAGGTACTAGGGTCTAGTCTCTGCCACGTGGTTTCTTATCTACAATTGTTTTGTGTGTCATCTATTTTTTCCCCGAGGAAGAGTGATAGGACGTCTTCTGAATAAGGAGATAAGTATCTGCCAAGGGAAAGAGGTATGTATTTGTGGTCCTTTTTGAAGGTTCAGACTCTTTTTTTCCTTTTTCTTGAATTCCAGTTTTTTAAAGTTTTTGCTGTTTCTTTATCTTACTGTAGGTAAGTCCATTTTAGTTCCCTGGCCTCCTATACCATGTTTCCACTGCTAGACAAAACGCGCAATTTGAGCTAAATTATCTCGGTTCCTTTAAAAGATATCAAAAGTCTTTCAACTGATAAAATATTGGTGGTATTATGATAATCAACTTGTTAATTGACAGATTTTCGATATCTCTAATAAGTACCGAGATAATTGGCTTTAGGTGGACTTATAGGGTGGGCGTATATTAAAACACACTGGGTATTTCGATTTCCACTTTTCTGGGGACTCAGTTTCCATTTTTTTTAAGTTTTTGTTCATTTTGTACGTTCATCATTTTGTATTCTTTCTCATCATTATCAGAAAGGCCATTCTAAAAGTTCAAATTGACCTTTTTTCATTTTTCAATTCAATTTCTCCCATCCATCTGTCACTTGTCCAATCTCTCCAGCTTCTTCATATTCTTCCTTTCCTATCTTCTTCTTTTCTTTCTTTTTCCTTCCGTCCTTTCTTGCCCCCTGTCCTCCTCCGATGCCACCTCCAACGCGATCAAACTCTCAGTTTGCACCACCTGCGTCTCTTAAGAACCCCTACACTATTTTCTCTTTTTCTCTGCGTCTCTCGGATTTTTCGCTTCTCTAGATTTCTCTTTTTCTGCCCTTGGTTTCTTTTCTGCAAAGATAAAAAGTCCATAACTTTTTCTGTTTTCTGTGCTTTTCTGTGCTTTTCAAGAAGTCACGTGGTTAGAAGCCTTCTGATTCTGAATTCTTGTGAATTTGTCTTGATAATCTTTACTTTTTTTAAAAGCTTAAAAGCCGTTTTTATAGCTAATTTCAAGAAAAAATTGGTCCTGTTGAAATTTTGAATTTCGATTTTCTCTTTAAATTTCAAACTTGCTCCCAGAATTTGAATTTTTTGGATGGGCAGTTATTAGACAGTTCGTTAGAGAAAATAACTCAATTTTTATCATTTTTATGTTATTTACTGATAAGAAACATGGAACAGAAAAACGTGATTATTTTCAAATTGAATTTCTGAATTTCTGAATTTCTGAATTTCTGAATTTCTGAATTTCTGAATTTCTGAATTTCTGAATTTCTGAATTTCTGAATTTCTGAATTTCTGAATTTCTGAATTTCTGAATTTCTGAATTTCTGAATTTCTGAATTTCTGAATTTCTGAATTTCTGAATTTCTTAATTTCTGAATTTCTGAATTTCTGAATTTCTGAATTTCTGAATTTCTGAATTTCTGAATTTCTGAATTTCTGAATTTCTGAATTTCCATTTTTCAGTTATTTTTTCAGATTTCATCCATCTATTTTTCGAATTTCTTTCTGATTTTTCTAGATTTTTCCCATCCATTTCTTTTCCCAAAGTTGTATTTCTTCAATTTTCAGACAAAAATGCTTCTCCGAAATGTGCTATCCATAGGTCTCCGTGTTAGAAATAGTAGCAGTTACTGTATAAGACGTAAGTTAATTTTTTAATTTTCCTGGAATTTCAGCCAAAAATTCTTGAATTTTCAGCAAGTGTGGGTCTTGAACGGGACGTTGAAGATGTGATGGAGGCTGCAAACCAGTTTGCCAAAAAGGAAATGTACCCGAAGATGGCCGAATGGGATAAGAAGGTAAGATTTTTTTGAAAATTTTTTGACGAACTCTTCAAAGTAGTTTCTAGTCCCTCTACAACATTTCTAAATACTCCAAAAATTAAGCAAAAAAATGTTGACCCCAGTGAGGTTCGAACCCCTGACCTCTAGATTGCCAGTCATCTCTCTACCCAGTTGAGCCAAAAATGCAAAAGCCGGGAAGTAGGTCGGTTCGATGTGGAATTTTGGGCTAAATGTGAAAATCATGATGAAATCTGCTAAAAATCAATTTTTCAAGGGAGAACTACCCATGGATGTGCTCAAGAAGGCTGGAGAAATGGGATTCGGTGCCATTTACTGTAAAGGGGATCATGGAGGATCTGGGTTATCTCGTCTTCATTCTTCTGTGATTTTTGAGCAGCTGTCTATGGGATGTGTGTCTACGGCAGCGTATATTTCAATTCATAACATGTAAGGATTTGTTATTAAAATTCGAAAATTTGGAGAAAGTTGATAACTTTCAAAAATCGCGAAAAATCGAATTTCGAAAAAAAACGTTGACAACTTTGATGCCATTTATCTCGGTTGCTTTAAAAGGTATCAACAAATGGTCAACTGATAAAATATTAGTGATATTATGATAAATGTTTTATTAGTTAGCCATTTTTTTATATCTTCTACAGGAAACGAGATAAATGGGCTCAAAGTTTAGTCAAAGGTCCACGCCCACTCTCTATGTGCACTTTGAGCTCGATTATCTCAACGCTTGTACAAGATATTAAAAACTTGTCAACTGATAAACTATTTATCATAATCTCAACAATAGTTTATCACTTGACAATTTTTTCGTATCTTTGGCAAGAACTGAGATAAATTGGCTCAAAGCTAAGGTTATCTATAATTTTTCTCCAATTTCTCAGGTGCGCATGGATGCTCGACACATATGGCCCAGACAAACTCAAAGAGGACCTTCTCCCCGAAATGGCCCTCTTCAACAAGCTAGGCTCTTACTGCTTGACAGAGCCAGATGCCGGGTCCGACGCAGCCAGTATCCGGACCACGGCAACCAAAAAGGGAGATTATTATGTGGTCAACGGGTCCAAAGCATTCATTAGTGGAGCAGGAACCAGTAATAAGTGAGTGGAAGATTTTAAAATGCCATGCCTGCACTTTGAGCTGAATTATCTCAATTGCTATTAGAGATACCGAAAATTTGTCAACAGATAAAATATAAGTGATAATGTGATAAACATTTTTTCAGTTGTCACCGTTTTGATATTTTGCATAGGAATTGAGATAATTGAGCTTAAACATGAAAGAAACGGTAAATTTTAAATTCCAGTTATTTTGTGATGATGCGACAAGATGGTGCTGCTCCTGGAGCGAAAGGAATCTTCTGTTTGATGATCGAGGATGGCACAGAGGGATTTAGTTACGGGAAGAAGGAGGATAAATTGGGATGGAATTCTCAACCGACCAGGATTCTGACCTTTGAGGATTGCAAGGTTTCAAAAGCTTCAGAAAGACAGAATTCCTCAAAAATGATGCTTTCAGGTCCCAATAACCAATCAAATTGGAAAAGACGGATTTGGTTTCAATATCGCTATGGCTGGTTTGAATGGAGGTCGTGTCAATATCGCCAGTTGCTCCCTCGGAGCCGCCCAGAGAAGTATGGACCTGGCTATTGAGCATTTGAAATGCAGAAAGCAGTTTGGAAAGACGCTGTCCGATTTTCAGTACAACCAGTTTAAGCTAGCAGAGTTGGCAACTAAATTGGTTACTAGCAGGTTGGTATCTTCTTGATTTCCCAGAGCATAAAATGCCTGTTTGCAGCAAATTTGCAATAGAAAGGGCTCCTAACTTTGTATCAAATTATCTAAGTTTTTTTGAAAGATATGAAAAAGTTGTCAACAGATAAAATGTTGGTGATATTATGATAAATAATTTGTTAGTTAACAACTTTTTGAGATCTTTTTTAGGAACCCAGAAAAATTGGGTCAAAGTTGCAGATCCCCTCCATTCAAAAAATATATTGAAAAAAAGTTCCAGCCAATTTTCACATTTTTCGCTGAAATTTACGGGCAAATTCGAGCTCAATTATCTCGGTTTCTATGATAGATAGCAAAAAGTTGTCAATTAATAAAATGTTACAGATACTATGATAAACAATTTATCAATTGACCATTTTTCAATTTCTCCGACCGAAATCGAGATAATTTCAGTCGAAATTAGGCAAACAAATTTGTCGTTCGGAGCTCTCTAAATTTGTTCTCGGATTCTAAAAATGAGCAGAAAATGACCTGAGTGCTTCAAAATAACCCATTTATGCTATACCTTCCGTTTGTCGGCTCTATTAAGACAATTAAATCTGAAAATTCAAGTTTCCAGACTAATTGTCCGTGCGGCTGCTGAACAACTCGACAACGACGACCCAGAAAAAGTGGCTCTTTGCGCGATGGCTAAGCTACACGCTACGGATAATTGCTTTGAGGTAATTAGCAGATTTATTATGATCCTTTAATTGGTAACGCCCTAATTTGTTCCAGGTCGTCAATGGAGCCCTCCAGATGTTCGGAGGATACGGATTCTTGAAGGACTACCCCATCCAGCAATACCTTCGAGATATTAGAGTTCATCAAATCCTGGAGGGAACTAATGAGATGATGAGATTGCTGATCAGTAGAGATTTGCTGACGAAGGATATCTTCTGGAGCTCCTAGATTCAATTTTTCAGATGGAACTGTCTTAAATGGGCCTCATGACTTTTCTATTCGCCATTTTCTAGACTTTCTAGAGCTTCTAGGTCTAAAATGTGCCTTGAATTTCTGTATCATGATTTTCTTTTCGCTTTTTTTAGTGCATTTCCCTCTTGGTTGTCCCCGATCATCATCATCATCTTTTTTTTTGTCTAGTTTTCAATTTTTGAAAGTTTTGAGTAAATTGATTTTTTTTTCCTTTTAGAACTCGATTTTTAGGGCTCAAAATCGTTTTTTTTTTCAGTCATCTGAATTCAAAAAATGGGTTTCTTTAGAATGGAAAGAAAAAAGTCCTTGACATAATTTCCGATCTGTTATGAATAACCTAATTGAAATTCAAGAATTCCTGAAATGTGGTTCCCACGAGCAAAAAATAGAAAAATAGCATCAAAAATGTTTTATGGTGTATTTAGGTTTTCCGACGTCATCAGAAACTATATTTTAGATTATCAATAGACATAGAAGTTTTGCAATTTTCACAGAATTCTAAATTCATTAAATCTGAAAACTGAATATGAATCCAACTACCGTATTTTCTCCGGTAGAAGCCCAGCGAATCCGCAAACTTTGAGCTCAATTATCTTGATTTCTGTGAAAGATATCAAAAACTTGTCAAGTGATAAAATATTTATCATAATATCACCAATATTTTATTTGTTGACACCTTTTTGATATCTCCTATAGAAACGGAGATAACTGAACTCAAAGTAGAAGGTTTGGGTAGGCTTCTCTTAAAGGAAATACGTTACCGTAAACACTCTAATAGAACGCCACCCGAATCGTCAAATTTGAGCCCATGTATCTCATTTTCTGTGAGAAATATCGCAAATTTGTCAACTGATAAAACATTTCTGATACTATGATAAACATCTTGTCAGTTGATAACTTTTTTTATAACTTTGACAGGAACCGAGATAATTGAGCTCAAAGTTGACGGTTTGGGTGGGCTTCTATCAGAGGAAATACGGTATATTACTTCGATGGCCAGCGAAACGAAGAAGATTCAAGAAAGTGAAAAAAATTGGGAAATGACGTCATCTAGATTTCGAAACTGCCCTTTTTCTCCGATCGGTGTGAGAAAAGGACATCGTCGCGAAAGGGCAGTCTGAATAAAGTGCGCAATCCATTTCATTCAACAGTTTTACACCCGCCAGTTGACTTTTTCATTTGACGCTTTTTTTCGAATTTCTGATTTTTTTTGAGTTAAAGTGGTTTTGAGCATTCCCTCTAATAGAACATCACACACTCTTATACTTGGAGTTCAAGCGATTCATGGCAATTTTAACCTGGGCCTTCTGGCCAGTATGGAGCTTATAGAATGGTCTAAACTTGGTACAAAGGTTCAAAACCTTCGAAATTCAGAAATTACTATTTATTCAGAAACTCAAAATTCCTGATAACCTTTATTCGTTTCCATCTCACGAATTTCGATTTCAATTCATACATCACCGGTCCACAAAACATACAAAAAATGTATTTTTCTGTTGATTTTCAACTATTTTCAGGAGTCTGGAGTTCAGCTGTCAAGTTTCCGATCACGCTGAAAATGTTGGAGGGTGTGAAACAGACCTAGATTGAAAACTTTGAATTCACATAATTTTTTGAAAGTTCCTAGTTTTTCAGCTATTTGCCAATTTCAGATGGACACCTGTTTTTTAATGATCTAAACCAGTCGGTTTACGCCCCTTTGGGGCTGAACCTCCTGCCCTCCGGTCGCCCTCCACCATCGCCCTTCCTGCGCACCATCCTTTAGTGTGGTGAAACCAAGGAACGTCTCGAGAAGACTTCAAAATCAAAATTTCGAAAAACCAAAAGTTCGTGCATCAACTAAGACACAATTCTGATCTATCTGTCCAGGTTTCAGCTTGATAGGTTATTTTTGAATAGGTGATAAGGTGCGCTACATACATACGCACATACCAAATCTGGTGAGTGTTATTAGTAATCATATTACCCTTAACCTCCCCCGAATCACAAAAAATCTTTCTGCAGCTATCCAAAATTTCGGAAATAGTGCAACTCGACCTCTCTCGGAAAATTCCTTCTTGTTTACAACTTCTCTTTTTTTGTCATCTCCAATCTTGTTACCATTTTCTTCTTCTTATCTTCCTTTTTTCCTTCCCTCTCTCTCTCTCTCTCTCTCTCTCTCTCTCTCTCTCTCCTACCTTTTTCCAAAAATGTCTTCCTTTTCCGCGAAGACGTGACGCAACTTCTCCGAATCCGATATGACCGGTGAAACAAGAAAAAAAAAAGAAAAAAAAGAATGCGTTCTTTTAGGAGAAAAAGATATAAATCTCTCATTTCCACACGCTTATCAGTTTTATCTCTCCTGCCGGGCGCCCCCGCCGCCGAATTATGTAACATAGAAAAAAAAGAAGAAGCGACCTTGAATTTGAGTATAATTGTCCGAACCGTTTCATCTCCTTTTTTTTTGGACACAAACAATTTAATTAGTTGATTACGCTCGCACAGAGAATGGCGCCACGCCTTTCTGTGTTCTGGGTAGAAGGTTTTTGATGTAACTTTTGGAAAAAGGGTTACTATAGAAACTACGAGAACAAAATGGAAATTTGGAAGCAAATAGTAAGACTGATCCAGTACTAAAAATTGGGCTTAAAAAGAAAGAAGGAGAAATCTGGAAAAACGAGTTAACATTCGATCCAAGAATCCCGTATTTGGAGAACCCTTTAATAGAAGGGCACTTCTAATAGAAGAGTTTCCAGGTTTGAAATTACCGTGTCAAGTTTCTTCTCAAGGTTCTGTCACTTTGCTAGTGACCCATCCAAGTGCCGTAAAACCCGTAGTGGAAGAGCTCTCACATTGTTAAGTTGGAGCTCAATTATCTCGATTCTTCTAAGAGATATCAAAAATCTGTCAACTGATAAATCATTTATCACAATATCACCAATGTTTTATTAGTTTAACACTTTCTCATATCTCTCACTAGAACCGAGATAAATGAGCTCAAAGGGCAAGTAGCCTAAGCTATGAGAATATTTATTGGTTAGTTCCAATTTAAATATTCTGATTTTTATATCAAATTTTGCATAATTTCAATATTCGTTATCTCCTTAAATCCTTTTTTTTGTAAATTTTGTAGATCTGCATCAGAAGTTATCCGGAATTACGTCACAAAAAATTACTTCTAAATGCGTCCAACCTAGATTTTTCTTCCTTTCCTTTCCTGTTGGGAGTGTGACATGATTTATAAGTGCAGCTGATCCCTACTTTTTTCGGGAGATTTGAAAAAAGAAGAAAAATGTTCTGGATTTTTGAACTGGTGTTCTGTGCGAAATCGGAAAATCTACAAGAAAACCTGTAATAGAAGGGCATTTTTTCTTTCTGGGAGATGCGAGTCATTTGAATATGTGCGTAATGCTAGCTTTAACTTTCAGCCAATTTATCTCGGTTACAATCGGAGATTTAAAAAAGTTGTCAACTGATAAATTGATTACCATAGTATTACAAACATTCAAATAGTTGACACATTTTTGATATCTTTCACAGGAATTGAGATAATTGAGCTCAAAATTAACAGTGTGTAGGTCCTTTTATAACAGGTTTTACGGGTAGTAAGAGGTTTGGAAAGTCAGGAAATGGAGGTTTTCTAAAGTCTAATTTTAAAGGAAAATCAGAATTTCTTGAATATTTGAAAATCCAAGTGAGCATTTTGATTTTAAATGGTTTCATTTCAAAAACATTAACATATTTCAAAACTCTAACTTCAAAAATTCAATTTAGCCCAGAATCTGAAAATTGAATTTCTTTGAGTTTTTAAAAATTATTAACTGAACCTGAAATTTTAGACAATCGAGAATAGGATGATTCTCTGAAATTCAATTTCATTGCAAATATAGAATTTCAAAGGATCAGAAAATCTGTAAAATGCAATGAATTCTGCTTTCTTTTGATTAATCTTGTAATTCTGAAATTTCATTCTACCACAGGATCTGAAAATGTTCAACTTTTTTCCCATACTTCACAGAGTCTTGAAATCCTAAAAATTCCTGAAAATCGAAAAATTCTAAATCCCGAAAATCGAGAAATCTGATATTTCAATCTGCTCCAGAATATGAAAATGTCCAACTTTTTATTCTATTCTCTTCTTTCCATCACATACTTTGAGAACCTTATAGTTCGGAAAAATCTTTAAAATCCTGAAAATCGGAATTTCCACAAGTCAATTTGGCTTTTTCACTGCCACCCATTCTCATCATGTCTCTTTCCTTCTTAAACAACAAAAACATATATAACACAGTTTTCAGAAATTATTAATTTATTTTCCTTTTTGAAAAACTAGGGCTACGAGGTAGAAATGAAAACAAATAGAGGTAGGTGGATCGGAATTGATCGAAGTGGATCCTGTTCAAGCATCGGTGCATCATTCCAGTTCGGGACAACAACCCGTCCTGATGTCTTCGTCAGTCATTCGAGTAGTGCACATAGAGTGCAATATGGTATCTGAAAATTAAAGGAGTTAAAATTTGAAGTTCAAAAATTTAAATGCTTACTGCCTGGGACGGTGCAGAAATCGGGGCATAATGTCTCTAGTTTTCTGAGGGCAGAAACTCCGCAATGTCTTTTGAGCTTGCGATGGCCATGGCTCCGAGGATGGAGCAAATAATTCAACATTTTCTCAAGATCCTCCTTGGTCGGTTCCACGGCTTTTCTAGGATTCTCAGAAGCCTCTTCTAAAGAAGCAGTGACCATAGCGGACAAGACGACGAGCGCTACTACGACGCGCTTAAACATGATTTGACGAAGCTCAAGAATCTCGACAAAGCTCAGGAATGAGGCCTTTTCCCCTGTTCCCCGTTCCCTTTTTATTGCGGACACTTCATTTCGCCACGCCCACTTAGACCTAGGGCCAAAATGCAAAAAGAACGATTCGGTAAGGGTTCAAGGGTAAATATGTGTGTTGTTTGTGGGTGGGTGGGTGTGCGTGACTAGAAAATGAACTAGTGAAGAACGTAGACGAGAAGAAAAAGTACGAAAAAATCAAATTAAGGTCATAGGTCGTCTTTGGCGTCCTACGAATAGATTGGGCGGTGCGAATAGATAGGGAGGTTTGGAGGGTCAGTTCTGTTTGTCCGGATGTCCATTTTTGATGTTTATGTTTTTCCTGTTGTCCAATTTGTCCAAAAAATGAGCCATTATAGAACGTTTGGCTAAATATTTTATCTGTCACATTATCTGTTTATTAGGATGTCCACGCCTTGTTAGATTCCCAATCAACAGCCCACCCAAGCCGTTTTGTCGAAGCTATCAAAAATGTGTCAACTAATAAAATGTTTGTGATATTATGATGAACAATTTATTTGTTGACAACTTTTCGATATCTTTTACAGAAACCGAGATAAATCGGCTCAAAGTTAACGGTTTGGGTGGCTCTATATCTGTCTCAGTATCTGTTTGTCCGGACTTCCTTCAGTTTCCAGTACTACGAAATCGACTGATACAGATTTTTTTTTTCGGAAATTTTTCCACTTTCAGATTGCTTGAAAGTCTGGAACTTCCTAAAATATTGGAAAATCTTGAAGTTTCAAAAATTTCTGAAAAATCTAGAAGTTCCTAAAATCATGTAAATCCTGGAAAATCTGGAATTCCAAAAATCTTAGAAAATCTGGAAGTTCCTGAAATTTTGAAAAATCTGGAAGTTCCGGAAAACCTGGAAATTTTGGAAGCTCCTAAAATTTGGTTGTTCTTAAAATTCTGAAAAATCAGGAATCTGAAATCCTAGAAAACACCTAAAATCATAGAGAATATGAAAGATCCTAAATTTTCGGGAAACCTTGAAGTGTCTAAAATCATGGAAAGTCCGAGAGCTCCTGGAATTTTGGAAAATCTGGAAGGACCAAGAGTCCTGGAAAATCATCTTCTACTTTTTTTGGAACGTAAAAAATACAGAATAAGTACATAAAGGTTTTATTAGAGGTAGTGGACTAATTTTTTAAGTATAGAGGTAGGAAGAACAATTATCTATCAATTTGGGCTCTGATGATATGGGTTTAAGGATCTCTGAGCAGCTGGGTCCTGAGGAATTAAGAAGCTTCTAGGGGCAACATCTGAGAATAATCTCTTCATCCGTGAGATGACGTCTACACATGGCACCAATGAGAGTATCTGGAAATCAACAGTTAGGAAATCTGAATTTTAAGAAAAACAAGATACATAATTCGGAGAGTACAAAGGTTTAGGGGTACAAAACACCAAAAAACCGTATTTTGTACGCCGAATCTGTTTGCACCTTCCAAGACGTTGTACTTCCCGAATTATATGCCACAAAACAATGCTTACCATCATTCAGGGTACAAAGATCCGGACACACTTCTTCAATCTTCTTTACAGCGAACCTTCCACAATAGTGAGGACCCTTCTGACTCCTATAATGCTTGCTACGATTTTCCATCAACTTGGAAAGCATCTCCTTCATTTCCTCACGAGTTGGCTCCTCAGCTCCTTCTGATTTCATGGATCCCTGGACCATCAGAATGCAAAGAATAGCAGAGATGAGAAAAGTCTCCGCCCCTTTTTCTTGATCAAAAGGTAAGGAAAAGGGGAGTTCAAGGATGGTGCGTGACTGATGAACTTGGGGAGAACGGAAGAAGAAAAGAACGAAAAAAAAATCAAAAAAAAGGGTTGGAGGTTGAAAATTGGGGATTTTAGAGATGTATGTTTGTCCGGATGTCTGCTGCAATTCCGTGCTCTAGCTAAATCAGTTTTTCAATCTGTTTGTCCAGATGCCCTGGAATTTGTCCCCTTAAATGTCATAGTTTCTGTTTGTCCAGATGTCCGAGTTGAATAGTTTTAATACCCAGAAATTCCAGAATTACAGTAATTTTTGATTATCATAATCAAGAACTTCTTCCAGCATTTTCAGATCAGGTTGATAACTTTCACCATATTCCGTATGTTGGTATGTATGTCGCGCGTATTTTCACACACTCAAAGTTGACTAATTAAGCTGAAACCTGGACAGATAGGTCAGAATTGTGTCTTAGTTGATGCCCGAACTTTTGGTTTTTCGAAAATTTGATTTTGAAGTCTTCTCGAGACGTTCCTAATTTCACCACATTAAAGGGTACCTTTATCTATTCCAGCATTTTGAAAATCAAAACCACAAGGATCCTTCTGGTACTTCAGAGAGGGATGTATGTAGTCTTGTTAGAACTGATGTATGTATATTTGACAATTTTTTTTGGAAAATTAGTTCTTGAAAGTTTGTGTTCGTAGAAACTGTGTGAAGTACCCCTGAATTATATGTACGCACTTGAAAAATAAAGTTTTGAAATTTTTTTTCTGTGTTCAATTACTGCCCCGTGTGTGTTCAAGGTCCTTGTTATTTTTGGAACATATAATCTTATGTATTGAGATTTCCGGAAGAATTGGAAACTTGGAAAAATGAAATCATGAGATTATTAAAAATGTGGTTTTCAGAAGACGTCATCCCTATTCTCCTCTTCTTATTCAGAATCATCATCTGAAATCAGAATGTCCCAGGAGTTGCAATGATGTCGGTTTTTCAAAATTTTCAGAATATTGAGATTGCTGACTGGCTCTCACGTCAGTTGTTTCTGAACCTTTGGAATTCACATTTTCAGACATTTTCCGAATTCTTATTTTTAATGAACTCTGATCTAGGTTCCAAATTATTTTCTTTCGGCACGTCCACAAACAAAATTGCCAAAGAAAATTTGAATCAGATAACGAGAAAAAAAGAAGATAGAAATCTTTTTTGCGAGAGAGAAATTGTAACGTTGACTAAACTTTGAGCCAATTTATTTCGATTTTAGTAGAAGATGTCACAAAGTGGTGAACTAACAAAATGTCATCATAATATCAACAACATTTTTCAGTTGCTCATTTTTTGACACCTTTCACAGTAACCGAGATAAATTGACTTAAAGTTGAAAGCTTGTCAGACTGAAGTATGATGCTTTCACCCTTCGCTTGTACTGAAACATCTATTTAGGTCAATATCTACAGCCTTTATACCACCAGTTTTCAGAATCACGATATCTTCGTAGTTTGATTTTCTGAAAACATCCATGTCGTCAACAATCCAAAAGTTTGTTTTTGAGGTTGATATCGTGGGATAATTGCTGGAAAAATATGTCGGAAGACGTAAGAGACTCTTGGGAGCACAATTCAATTTTCCGATCATTGAAACGACAGTAACTGAAATTGAGCTAGAAAATAAGGAAAATGCTACATTACTTAAAAATACGTCTTTGGTTGAAATTCTGGGAAAATTAGGTTTTCAGACTCTAGAAAACACTTCGGGCAATCACGTAGCCTTAAGTCTTGGAGCCAAAGCACAAACTGATGTTACATGTTTTCAGCTTCCGGGTTTAGGAGCATTCTTGAAATCAGACCCTTCTTAAAGAAATCATGTCACTCTAATTCATCGTCACCTCAATGAATGTTGGATATGTCAAACTGATTCATCTTGCTAATTCGAGAGTTATGTCTGAAAATTTAGAAGACGAATATAGATTTTGAAAGCCATCCGGTCAAAAGAACAAAACTCGAATAAATTTCATTTTGCCGACATGAATCAACTTGACTTGTCTCGCTGACTATGCTTTGAGCGAATTTGTTGCGATTTTAGAATAACATGTCTCGAAGTGGTGAACTAACAAAATGCTCATCAGAATATGGACTACATTTTTCAGCTGCGCATGTTTTGACACCTTTCGCAGAAACCGATATAAGTTGACTTGAAGATGAAAGCTTGCCAGACTGAAGTATGATGCTTTCACCCTTCGCTTGTACTGAAACATCTATTTAGGTCGATATCTACAGCCTTTATACCACCA